TTTAAAAGGAGTCTGAGGTGGGCTGGCTGTGTGCCCGGCTCCTACTACATTTAAACTGCAGAGCTGCAACAGGGACAGCTCCTGGACCCCAGTGCGAGCTGGAAAATGGCACCTCCCCCAATCGACCAATCGTGTAGTCGAAACAAATTGTATCGACTGTACAATTAGGCAGTTACTTGCTTCCTAACATTCTTAGTGGTATGCCTATCATTTCCCTATTGGTACAGATAACAAAATTCATTCTGCACACAGACTAACTAGAACTCTATTGTATCTGCAGCATGTCATCCATCCTTCCCATTGGATGCTCAGCCCCTGCTGCATATCATTATCCTGTCGACTTTCTACAAACTGACTGCAGATGTCAGAGCCCCGCACCAGCACACACTGACGCCTGATTTGCAGCAGTGGGATGCAAAGGCAGGTAGAAATGCAGGAAATAGAACTTTACTGCACGTGAAAGACCAGTGTTCCATGCTGAGTCTCTACTGTTTGTCTAGCTCAGCTTATCTTCATCTTGTCTTCCAGAGCTCCTGGTCCTTCACCACTCTGATCCCTCCAGAAATATGAAACTCCTTCTCCAAGCTCCACTTACTCCGTTACACAGTCCGCATACAGAATGTTACATTTTCCGTTTGTAGGCACAAAGTCTAATGATTGGAGAGCAGTGGGGAGGGAAGAGAGAAATGCAAACATTTGCACACATTATTATTTGTTTTTTGCTGAAGTTTTGTTTTCACCACGCCTTGCTAACCAGATTTATTTACAATGTACCGGTATCCACAGTGAGTGGGCAAGGTTATAGTAGGGTTGCCAATTTTGGATGGGCAAATTCCTGGAAGTTTCATCACATGACCTAATCTTTAATTAAAGATAGAGTTACCATATTTGAACTTTCAAAAAAGAGGACACCCCTGAGAGGGAGTATATCTGTATCAGTATCTACCAACTCCTGTTGTATTAATGTGTTATATATTATTAATACAAAGTGAGTTGGTAGATACTGATACAGATACACTCCCTCTCAGGGG